CTACCTCCATGAACCTCTCCGTTCACTTCGGTTTTTCTAGATCTTACACATACGGTAGGACTCCTTGGGCGAGTGATCAGCTCGTCGCAAGGCCTCTACCTGTACACAAACACAGAAAAACACAAACATCCATGTCCTGAGTGGGATTCGAACCCACGATCCCGGCTTCCGAGCGAGCGAAGACAGTGCATGCCTTAGACCGCTCAGCTATTGATTTTATTTGATCCCATAAAATACGTGTAGTCTGCAAATGTTTCCTCCCTCCAAAAGACTTTCTCATTCGGCGCTAAGCAACACGAGCAGCTGATGCAGACTTGTTGAATAAATTGTTTAAACCACAATGGTAACTATTCTCCACGAGCTACAACAGCATTCTGCCCACATTGTGTTTATGTGTTTTGTATGCGAATATTCACCGAAAGAGCATTGCTCGATTGATGTTTGTAATGTAGACTTGCATTTTCCAAGAGGATGTAGTAATATTAAAACAGACTTTAAAAAGTAAAGTGTGAGGGTATGAAATTGATTCATAGAGACCAGAGGCGGATTCTTCTGCTTGTTGCTTCCTTGGTTTACTCTTCGCCCTGAAGATGGAGGTACTACGTTCCTCCGAAATATCGGTTAAACTCTGCCAGACGGGATGACATTCCTCAGAGTCATCGCCCATTCAATGAAGCTTCAGGTTTCATAAAAATCTGGGAACTGCTTGCCTGCCCGAGTGACTGCTTCCTTCTTTTCAAAGAATCTACGCTCTGCTTTTAAGTTAGTTGAGTGCTTAAATTTTTCATTTGTGAGATTTTATACCCTTGAAGTTTTTTAATATAATCTGGGGCCGCGCCATAGCTCAAGTGGTTAGTCGCTGGCTTCCCATCGCGGCGGCCCGGGTTCGATCCCGAGTGTGGTCAAGTGGGATTTGTGGTAGGACTGGTTTTCTCCGAGTACTTCGATTTCCCCTGCCAATCTTCATTCCATCAAATTCTCCATCATCATAATCACCCGGGGCAGGTACAATAGGCCAATCAGTGGGCGCCGTACCGAGTGGACCCAGCTGGATTCCACCCCCTCTCCCTACTAAGCGATTTTTTTAAAATATATTAATAACGGTTCCAGTTTCTAAACATTGGATTTAACCTGATTCAGGAGGAAACTATATATGTATGTCTGTATAAGGGATGGGCCACAAAATTCGGCCCTTGCACCGCGACCTTCAATAGGAGGAATTTAAGAGGAGATTGAATTAAGATAATGCTTGCTACCATTCAGTCCAAAACCTTTTGTCTTCTCGTCTGCTGTCTAAAGCATACAAATCAGAATATACAAAACTGTAATTTTGCCTTTGGTTCTGTATGGGTGTGAAACTTTGTCTCTGACATTAAGGGAGGAACATAGCCTGATGGTGTTTGAGAACAGGGTGTTGAGGAGAATATTTGAACCGAAGAGAGATGAAGTGACAGGAGGTTGGAGGAAACTGCATCATGAGGAACTTCATAACATGTACTCTTCTCCAAGCATAATTACAGTGATGGAGTCAAGGAGGATGAGATGGGTAGGGCACGTAGTACGACGGGGGGAAAAGAGGAATGCATATAGGATATTGGTGGGAAAGTCCGAAGGAAAGAAACCACTAGGAAGACCAAGACAAAGGTGGGTGGACAATATTCCAATAGAGCTTAGAAAGATAGGATGGGATGGTATGGATTGGATTGATCTGGCTCAGGACAGGGACCAGTGGAGGGCGCTTGTGAACACGGTAATGAAATTTCGGGTTCTATAAAATTCTGAGAAGTTCTTGAGTAGCTGCACAATTGGCAACTTCTCGAGAAGGGATAAGCTCCATGAGTGATTAAGTGGGTTTAAGCAGAAAATTGTTATACTCTAAAACCGGATAAAAGGCGACATATTTTTTGTTTCATAGTGCGTAGTTTATTAAGTCACCGATAGGCAGCTAAGTTGAAATGCTGTTACTAGATGGCAACAACGTCGCAGAAATGTGACTCAGTGCGAGAGACCCAGTTGCAACTAGTCATATTGCTGGCCGTTGTAGTTCTACCCATTAGGAAATTGGCAAGTGAACTGCATGAAAATAGGTAAAATTACAAAAATATATTTGATTGGTTCGTAAACAAGTATGATAACAGTGCACATAGTTATGGCATTTATCTTGCATGTGGGTTGTGTCCATGCTGACTGGTGCTGACGCCAATACTCGCTGGGTAAGGACCAGTACCGGAACCGGAATTTCGTGTGATGTGGTATCGAACGGTATAGAATTTCTAACTCGCCAGGTTCGCCAGTGTCTAAGTATGGAGGAGTGCGCGTCAGTGTTATGGTAGTGTTCGTTGAGCTAGGAGTTGAGGTCGATTAGCACACATGCCAGCTCAGATCCTTGATAGACATTCGTTAAAAATTTTAAATATGGAGCCAACGAATATATTGTCAAATAATTCTCATCAAGAGTTAATGTCTGGTGGGGATGAATGTGATAGTCTCAAAGAAGTGCCCTCTTTGACGTCTATAGCAGATGGTGCCGGCAATAGAACAGGGAGGCGTGGTTGCAGCACATCCGCGGCGGAGTGGTTGACCATAATAATATTGTGCTTTGTAAACCTTATCAACTATATGGATAGATTTACAATAGCAGGTAAGAATATTTATTTTAGTTCTTGGTTGAATATAGGTTATGATCCATGTAGGTCACGTGTCTTGGTGGTTTATTTTGTGTATCGAAATGCAAGCCTACACAGCTGTATGTCATGATGTGACTATAGACTTGTGTTTCCCGAAACGTCTTTGTCATGAATGCAGACTCACCCTTTTGAGGGGGGCTGATGACTCTGACATCTTATAAACTGGTGAAAGGTGTTTCTAATAGGGTTGCAGTTTGTAGGGTGATGGCTAATGTACCACAAATTATTTTATTACCCTTATGTTGTATTTTTGTTTCGTTCATGTGTCATTGTTGTTAAATGCACCGACAAGTATTTCGTGTTTTTTTTTTGTAGCCTACTCTCTGCATTTTAAAAAAAAATAGAAGGAGGTAAATTAGATCACCTTGCTGTCTATGTTTTCCGCCTCTGCTAACATTGCTAGACAAAGGCTCCCGTGAACACGTTCTTTGGCCTTTACAAGGTAACGGTTCAGTAAACACGTTCCCGCGACGATGAAAACACACTCAACAATAGCGAACTGTTGGACTCCGCGTTTTGTGTGCGATCTGTCTTGTATCAGAACTTGTGTAGTGAAAGCAAAATGGATAGTTAATTCTTCCCANAAAAGTCGAATATATATATGTGTGTGTGTGTGTGTTTCCTGTACCGTGTTTGCACCACACATTTGAGCTATTAATCATTTTTGTGCTGATGTTTTAACAAACGATGGCTTTGAAGGATTTGGTTTCTGAACGTATGTGATATAACGTCATGTAGTCCGTTAAAAGTCTACCGACTTTTCGGAGGAACATGTCGCGATCTTCAAGGTCGGAGAATAAGCCAAGCAAGAAATCAGTACGAAGCAGGTAGCAAGCGTCGGTTGACTTTCGACGGACTGCACGGCACTATATCTCAGAAGGTGGAACTCTTCAAATGGCGCCATGTTTATAGACTTAAATGCTGACTCGTAAAAAACATATAATCGGTCGGAATTAAGCTAAGAAGTTCTTAAATTGTCAGTAGAGTTCGGGACAGCGCCCGTTGATGTTGCACCTCAGAAATTCATAGAGAGAGAGAGAGAGATACGGTTTGAAGATGTATCTCGCTAGTAAAAGTAAAAAAAAAAAAAAAGTAAAGCTATCCCTGTAACAGGCCGTGAAGAACCGACGGGTTGTGAGACGTTGAGGGTCCCACATTATCTAGACAGTCGGCTCAAAGATGGCGGTAAGGTTGTCAGCCTTACGCGCCGGCCGCGCTTTACTCCCCAAGAAAATTATTTAATTAATTCCTGGTACTCATTTCTGTTAGAGGCTGAGTCGACCCCAAGGCCATAGTTCGGCTAGAAGGATTAGGTCAATTGAAAAAAATCCAATGACCTAATCGGGACTTGAACCCGCGACCTTCCGAGACGTTTGGAACACAGACTGTTCATGGTGACCTGGGGGGAGCCCCAAGTTGTTATCTCACAATTACAGACTGCAGACTCCATTTTTTGACATTACAATACAATGGAAATATGAATGTTTTTCCTGCCATTGTGCCTTACCTGTGAGAACAGACACCGCCTATCAAACTCATGCCTACCTGTTCAAATGACCGCAGATCACATGCTATTTTTACGCTGCGCCTCGTGTGTGTGTCCACAGTGACTCATGTAACGGTGTATTTATTTTCTCCCTTCGTCTGATCAAGTTCCCATTACACGGGTTCTGTAGTTCTTTGCATGGCCGCGACATAAAGAGAGCCCCATTTGGACGGCATGGGGGGTTTTGTGATCATTGTACCCAGCTGTTCAAATATGTTGCAGCCCTAAGCTCACTTGCAGCATGGGGTGACCAATCCTTGAATTATTACAATTATTATGTTTCTGGACATTATCCATCGTCGTGTATTTATCTAGGAGCTGGGATAGCGTAGTCGGTATAGCGAACGGTTACGGGCTGGACTACCGAGGGATCGGAGTTCAAGTCCCGGTCAGGTCAAGAATTTTCTCTTCTCCACCTTGTCCAGACCAGCTCTGGGGTCCACGCAACCTCCTATCCAATGGGTACCGGGAGCTCTTTCCCCCGGGGTAAAGCGGCCGGGGCGTGAAGCTGACCTCTCACCTCCAGCTAGTGCCGAGATCAAGAAAATGTGGACCTGTACATCCACTCCCCGATACTCTTTCATGGCGTAGTGCTTAATTAGTTACGCACAGGGACAACTTTACCTTTTACCCGTCTTTATCTGAAAACACCGTCCTGTTTACACCCCTTTTATGGAACCTGGAGGCCCACCACTGTGATCACAACAGCCGTTTCAGATTGCCGTAGCTGTAATGTTATAAGGGAGGTGCTCGGTTTTAATTCTCGGCGGCGACGCCGTCTATTATGATTGGTGATTTTTGTGGTTTTCTTCAGTCTCACCCGTCAAATATCGAATTGGTACCTGCATTATGTCATGATCACTTCCTTTCCAAATCATTCCCACTTCATTATTAACCATCGTACCATGCGACGCTATGTAGTACAGTGGAACCTCGCTTAACGAGCATAATTCGTTTCAGAATCTTAATCGTAAAGCGAAACAATTTTCCCCATATAAATTAATGTAAAATACGATAATGCGTTCCATTCCGAAAAAATACTCAAAAAATTTTATGTATAACGTTTATTCAAAGAAAATTATATATACATTGTTAAGGAGCGTGAATTATCTTCATCGTTCCTTCTATGCGGAATGAACCAACCTGGAATGCGAATTCGATTTGCAGAAAACAAAAAAATCGAAATAATTAGTTTATTTATGATACATATCTAATTCTTTTTTACTAGGAAGCTGTCTAGAGACATTTGTTTTTGCCGACGCTTCAAAATTTGGTGAAAATGCGACACAGCATTATCATTAAATAAATTTGTAGCGCGCATAGCCACAGCCTTATTAGGGTGATGCTTCTCAGTGTACGATGCAACAGTTTCCCATGCTTTCAGCATTTCTCATAATGCGCCAGAAGATTGTTGCTTTGCTGTTACCTCCTCCTCCTCTCTGACAAACTCTCCTCCACAACTTCTTGCTGTGAAACAATTCCAAAGAGTGCAAATCGTTGATGTAGACCGACTGTATGTGCTTGCTAGATCAGCCACGCTCACACCTCGTTCTCGCTTTTCAATGATTTTACATTTCATTTCTACGGTTATTTTTATTCTCTTATGGCTGTCTTTTTGCGGCTTTTTCTTCGGGGACATTTTTGCAAGGGTTATTAAACTTTGCACACAAAAAATGACAAATATGTCTGAACATAAGTTTGGAAAAATGTGTGATCACAAGCGACACTAAGAGCTAGCGGAACGAGTGCTAAACACAGACTGATGTAGCAAGCGCACAATCCGGGACTTCCCCTCTCGTTACTCGTTATGCGAGTCTTTTTTGCTCGTTATGAGAGGTGCTCGTTAAGCGAGGTTCCACTATATAGATACCGACCGTCTCAAAGTAACCCCCCTACATGCGCGCGCAATGTCTACGTATTTGACGCGTCCTGTTACCGTGTGTCTAGCGTCGAATAAATTGCATGTGGATGTCAGCGGCCGTACCTTGTATACTCAACGTTCGCATCGGTGGACCGAGGATCCAGTCACACGTATCCCGGTCGGGGTATCGCCTCTGAACCGATAACCGGGCGGTGACATGTATCGTTACATGTTCTTTGTTGCGGGACAGCAAGCATCTCTGCTGCCGCGCAACATATGTGCCCTAGTGCGTACAAGCCTTAAGGTAGCGTTACAGCTCTCATCCTGCAGTGTTTAGTCCTGTTAATTTATGACGATTAACGCAGGCAACATGTCTGGCAGCTCAACGCACGGTACAACTTGGCACACCTAAGCCTGACGCAATCACGAGGTCAAAGACGTCACCGTTTGGCCTGGCATGGCTCACAAGCAGGCCTCTAGGGGCAGTATTGCTGTAGCGCACGTGGAACCGGCGTTCTGTTCGTTGCGGCAGACCTGTGCGCTGCTAATGTATAGGGGAGGACGTGTACTTATGCAGACCCTCCCTGAAATTCACGCAGCANTGTGGAGGGCTCTTGTGAACACGGTAATGAACCTTCGGGTTCCATAACATGATGAGAAGTTCTTGAGTAGCTGCACAATTGGCGGCTTCTCAAGAAGGGGTCAGCTCCATGAGTAAGGGTATATATAGTTACCACTGCGCTTGACGGGTGAATATATAAATGATATTGAATATAGAAAACCGTCGCTAATCCGGTTACAGTTAATGTGGATGTCGGATAATCCGGATCGAAATATGAAAAATGCTGTTCACAGTTGAGTACATACTTTAAAAGGCACATGGCATTTAGGTAGGCAGATGAGTCACTTGTCTGTTCAGACAAAACTTGACAAGTTTCTTCAAACCTATATCATTACGTTCAGAAACAAGTACAACTTTTGAGTCTTCTGTCGATGAATAAATGTACTGTTTTTATATAATTAAATAAATAATTAAATACTGTATAGTGATATTTTGTTATTTATTTTCATCAGTACTGCTTATATCAATACATTTATTTGTGTTCTGTTATTTTTTTTTCATTGCTAGTGGGGTGGGACTAAGTCCCTTGTACTACGGCCACTTCTGGCCTATTGTACCAGCCCCAGATGATAGGTGAGGGTGATTGTGGAGCAATTAGTGGAATAAAGATCGACTAACCGCTTGAGCTATGGCGCGGCCTATTTGTGTTCCAAGTTGGGTTGCATAAAAACTGGGGATTTCTTGAGCATTTTATATACTTCTGGCTTCTTATGAAGGTCTGTGCTTGAGAACCGTTGAACAGATCACCATTAACGTAAGATTTGAGGTTTTCACGACGGTGACTATGAAGAATGCCGTCTTCTGGGAGGTGGCTCCGTGTAGATCATGTGTGAACCGACGTTTCGGAGGAACGTCGGTTCAGTCTGCAGCCACCTGCTCACGCTGGTTCCTCTCGCGGATTTTTCGACCCTGACGATGGAGGCGA